CCTTTCTTATCTTTGTCATTTTTCCTAAGGCGGTTGGTTGCTGCTTTTTCAAGAAATTTCGCAAATAAATTTCGTTTCCGTAAACAAGTTTTTTTACTGCCAAATTTGACCAAAATTGGATGGTCAATGTAGAGACGGACAGCCAGACAGAAGATAGCTTCAGACAACCAAGTAAAAGTTGTGGTAGTAAACATTTTCGTTTTTTTTTGCTTTCGTTAATTTTTATTTGAAATATATCCGCATAATCAAGTACCTAACCGACCAGTCATCCAACCAGCATACTTCAATGTGGGGACATTTTGAAAATTGCTACAATTGCAAAGCAAAGAGTACCAAGAAGCTTTAACGCACATTGCAACTAGACAGACCACTCCTCTCTCCAAGTGGAGTTTAAAATTCGACACAAATGCATAATAATCGTTGGCTATCGATTGTTGCCAAATGTTGTTCCCACTTTCTGATGTCCGGATAATGTGAGCGATGTGCGTATGTGTGTCGCCCAATTGAAAGCACCCCGACCAATATGCGAACAAACTACTTGGTGTGTTTTGGCCGTGAACGCAGTGAGACACGTTAAAAAGTGGTTGCCCTATTTTTAATCTCCATTCATGTTAACAAGCCGGTTGACAGAGAGAGACACGTATATACATACAGACAGACAGGTAGCTAATCAACCGGCGAGCCAGCCCGTTAACCAATCGACCCCACCAAGTAATCTCTGCCATCAGCTCCAAATATAAACTTAAAAAGTACGACAACTTTACGCAGTCAGTATACGGCATGTAGTTGGTATTGCCGGCACATGCCTTACAAATGGCACGCATCTACCATAAAATTGTCGTAGCTGTGCCGACCCCTTTTAGTTTCCACTGTGGCACTCTTGTGTGTTATTGTTATTATTTTTTTTTTTTTTGCAAAGATTATTTTTTATTCTTTGTATAAGAAATTACGGTTGTCATGGCCATGGACACTTTCGCATTCTGTGTGTAAAATATGTTTTTTTGGTGTAATACTTTCAATTTCATCCCAGCGGAATTCTTGTTTGGTGAAATTGTTTTTTATTTATATTTGAAAGAAATGGAAGAAGCGTAAAAAACGGCTCATAGTGGGAAAGTCTACCTTAATATATTAGATTCGATCCAAAAGTCCGTGTTAAGCCTTTTAACTGCATAATTTATTCGGTTTGATAAAATTCTTTATTCAAAATTTCGTACATCGTACTAAATTTTATGACTTTGAATAAACACGTTTGTGCTTTTTCAGAAAGAATAATGGGAAATTGTTTACCTTTTACATCAGAAAAGTCTTCAACATTTTCACAATGGACCTACATAAATTTTTTGTGACAAAACTATTTTAAAGTCTCTATTTGTATACCCTGGAGACCAACAGTGGACTATATAACAAATTTCAGAATTCCATTTATATCCCAACACCCAACGAAACATTTTGTGACATTTTGAACACATTTGCAAAACCACCTCCTTTCTCCCCAGTGACTTCCATATCAAATTTCAGGATTTCAGCTCTATCCTTTCGTCCAATATCAAATTTAGTAATATTTAGTTCTTTTCGTACTATTAAAGCAAACATTTACAAAATAATTTCCATATCTCAACTAATGACCGTGATATCAAATTTCAGGATTTACACTTTGTAATTTCAGCTCTATCATTTCAAAAAATGCCAAATTTAGTTCTACTTAGTATTTTCTGTACAACTATAATACACATTTCCAAGACCACCTCCATATCTCTATGCCAGAGACCACAATATTAAATTTCGGGATTCCAGATCTATCCCTTCACACAATATCAAATTTAGTACCATCTAGTACTTTTCATTTCCAAAATACACCTCCGACATCTACATCAGCTTTCAGGATTTCGCTTATTCCTTCACGCAATACAAACTTTAGGGATATTTAATACTTTGAGTACAATCATACTACAAAAACCACCTAAATATCTCAATTCCAGATACTAATAGATACCTCAATATCAAATTTAAGGATTCCATTTAGTATTTTTCGTACAATTATAATACACATTTCCAAAAACTACCTCCATATGTCTAGACCACACATGAACAGCGACCCTAAAACCAAACATCAGATTTCAAGCACTATCTGATCACCCAAAACAAAATTGTATCAAATACAGAGTGAGATAAAAAACAAAATCAAACACCATAATTTTTACATTTTTTTTTAAATCTTATTGAATGAAACAAAAATTATCGGAAATGGCATCAAATTTTTACAATAAGTTTAGATTTGTTCGAATTGGTCACCTTTGGCACGAATTATGGCCTTATATATATATATATATATATATATATATATATATATATATATATATATATATATATATATATATATGTTTCATCCAATTTTGTGATAAAGTCCCTCCCTCCACATAAATTCCCAATATAAAATTTTTTGTTACGGGAGCTCTAGTAAATACGCATGGAGGTCTAGGGTGTCATATAGTCGGCCCACCCGACTTTTTACCTTTCCTTACTTGTTTTTTACAACAAATATCGGGGTAACTAAAACATGAGCCGGTGAATCCAACAGAGTTGACCAAAAAATTTTCTATCCCATAGAAGACTAGACCTGTCCCGTAAAAAAGTTCTATGTCACACCAGAAGGTTTTTTGTCAGACCAGAAGGTCTAATAGTGTCAACGTCTTCTATAAGAACGTATTTCCTCATGTTGAAACTAGAGAATCGTATTCTCTCACAAAGTACTCCCGCATATCTTCTAACTCATAGAAAACCAAAATTTCCCCATTCATACAGGAGGAATGAAACTTTTTTAACTTATAAAAGCGCTGCTGAAGTATTTACGTTATATGAACCTATATATAAACATTTTTTTAGTTCACAAAATGCCATGCTATCTTCAAGGGCTATTTCAAACAATCTGTTGTCTTCTGAAAATGTTGAATTACGATCATCTTCAAAGGCAGTAATGTATGAAATGCTTGTCTTGCCAAAAGAACCGGAATTGAAACATCACTTGACTCCTTTTCATCCAACCCACTGTCACACAATTATTCATATTTGATTTATTTAATGGTGATTTTACCGCGAGAGAGCGGCCGAAACTAATTTAGGACATTGTGTGTAAAAATTGGTCGTTTTTACAGCTTTCATGGAAAACAGGTTGATAGTTATTTTTTTTTCATTCAAAGGAGTAGCACAAATGAAAGTTATTCGCGTGTGATTTGAAAATGAGGAAACAAGTTTTCGATTTCAACGCGGAATCTTTGATACAAACAAAGAGAAAAAAATGAAAGGGTTTCACAACATCGTGGGAATTTCGAGAAAGTAAAAAATATGATTAAATCCTGATATTCAATAATAATGTTGGCATGAAGAGGATGATTGGAGAAATGACCATTATATGGGAAGGTGAATATTTTTTGGGGAATGGAGAAGTGGAGGGAAGTAAATGTGTGTAATTAATAAAAAAAGTTGAATAGCATCTGTCGGTTTTGCGGAAAGAGGTATACCCCCAGCCTTGAGTTACAATAATTCAAACTGTTGATCCTTTATGGGGGATGTTTCAAAGCAGTTGGCCAGTATTGTCGAATTCGTTCCTAATCTAAATAATGTCAATAATAATGGACTGTATCGTCTACTTCCCATACTTTATATGAATTATGGGCAAATTTTTAGAAAATGTGGAAATATGCGTGACGTACCAGATATAGCGGAACGAAATATTCCACTTCATCTAATACAGATAAAAATATTAATATCTGCAAAATTTTAAGAAAATCGATAAATGTCCGATTTTATACGAAATCATAAATTTCGATAAATGACATATTCAAATCAGATTTATGTTAATGGGAAATATTTGAATATAGCAAGGTGTATAGAATCGTTGTTTTGTTTCGCAAGTTATGACATATATAAATATTGAAAATTGTAAATACCATAAGGGATTGGTAAATATCTATCATGTTCACAACAGATCTTGCGTTAGCAAAAAAATCTTGTGTTAGTACAAATAATGGGATGAGTGAAATATGAAGTGAACCGGATGATTCGGATTTTATTATCGACACTTTGTGGGAGATTTTGTATTGATGAAAATATTGAGTTGTGCCAGGTTTGATTGGAATGGAATGTTAATTTCACGTTTTATAATATTCATCGATATTCAAATTTTTAACCCTTTTGGAGAAGATACCACAAGGAGTGGGCAGATATATCCCATCATCGCGACAGACCTAGGGTTAATAAAAAATATTTTGATGTGTGCAATTTGACGACAATCGGACTCTTACAACACATTATAAGAGTTATAATTATTCGAATTTTGATCCGTTGTGACTTTAACCTAGAATTTATGCAAGTACTAGGTCCTGCAAAGTTGGAGCAAAATCGGATCATTCTTTCTCTTTCCGTGCAGTAAATTTTGACCTTTTGTGGAGGAGGTACAGAAAGAGTGGACCGATATCGCCCATCTCTGAACTCGATCTAAGTTTGATAATAATATTACAATGTACCAAGTTGTAACAAATCGGATACTCCCGTCGAGAGTTATCGTGCACACCAGCCAGTCAGACAGACAGAAGGACGGACATCGCTAGATCGACTCCAAATGTCCTGAAACGGATTTGGTCCTAGGAAACGGATTAGACCTAGGGTTTAAACCGTTATTTCGATGAGGCACGTTTTGGCCCTCTCTAGCCATATGGCTGAGGGTATAATAACTACAGTTCATTTCTGTATTCAGATTCTGATTCAAAAATTTTCTTGAGACAAATAAAGCGTATTTCACTTAAGGAGACATAAACTCTATATTTCAAAAAACAATAAACACAATAAACACCGCAGACCAATCATCTTCATCTCAGATGGGAATTTTTCCAAGTTTAAAAATTGAGCTTTAGTCTGTTTCAGCATTTTGTTTTCAAACTAATTCATTAATATTGAAAATATTTTCTTAAAAAATGCAATTTTCTTTTTTATTTTTCTTCCAGCTTGCTTTAGCCGACGATGGAGATGTGGTTAAGGGTAACGAAGAAATATCCGATCACGACAATGAAGTGGATCAAGTTGCCTTGGAATCTGAACCTGAACCGCAACAACAACAGCCACAAAAGGTGCACTATCAACACAATATGCAACAACAGGCACCGCCCCAGGGGCCCGGACCGGCCAGAAGTAAGAGACTTGTTTAAGATTTAAGCCACAAGAACTGTGATAATTTTGTGAATAATAGCAACTTTTTATGTTATTACAGGCAATAATCAGGGCATACCATTGGCGTTGGGTCAACCGTTCGGCCCACCGCCACCTCCGTCACAGCTCGCCTATCAAGGACCACCACCACCGTTGCCACCTCAAAGACCACCACCAGCTCCCGTGCACGTGCCCCAGGCATTGCCCGATTTAAGTGTGGGTGCTTCCAGTACCAATGAGATTTGGTCATCCCCGGTGCAGGATATGGCTAAAATCATTTCCCTGGATGTAAAATGTGAAAAGAATGGCATGAAAGTATTTGTCCAATTCGACAAACCCTTCTATGGCATTGTATTCTCCAAGGGCCATTACAGCAACATGAATTGTGTCCACTTGCCCTCGGGATTGGGTCGGGCCTCGGCCACCTTCGACATTGGTTTACACGAGTGTGGCACATCGGGAAATACTGAGAACGGCCTTTATGGCTATGGCCATGAGTCGGGATCTGGCACCTATTTTGAGAACATCATTGTCATACAATACGATCCTCAGGTGCAAGAGGTGTGGGATCAGGCCCGTAAATTGCGTTGCACCTGGCACGATCAATACGAGAAAAGTGTGACATTCCGTCCGTTCCCTGTCGACATGTTGGATGTGGTGAGAGCAGACTTTGCCGGCGACAATGTAGGATGTTGGATGCAAATTCAAGTTGGCAAAGGGCCTTGGGCTTCGGAGGTCTCAGGTTTAGTAAAGATTGGACAGACCATGACCATGGTTTTGGCCATTAAAGATGATGATTCGAAATTCGATATGTTGGTAAGAAATTGTGTAGCCCACGACGGAAAACGTGCACCCATACAATTGGTTGATCAACGGGGATGTGTTACCAGACCAAAACTGATGTCTCGCTTCACCAAAATCAAAAACTTTGGAGCCTCCGCTTCGGTACTGTCCTATGCCCATTTCCAAGCTTTCAAATTTCCCGATTCCATGGAAGTCCACTTCCAGTGTACCATACAAATTTGTCGCTATCAATGTCCTGACCAGTGTTCTGACCCCAATCTTCAGGAAGTTCATCATTTACAAGTTGGCCCCGAATCTCAATACGGCCCACCACCACCCCAGCTGCATGTAGACACCTATCATGTGGGCAGTTCCATTGGCAAGCGAAGAGATGAACGTCGTGTACAACGTCGCGCCCGTGCCGTCGATCCCAATGAACCTCAGGTTGGTTTGAATCGCATCATCAAAGTGGTGTCCTCTGGTGACCTGACATTTGCCATTGATGAAAATGCCAATGCCACCGCTTCAGCAGCAGCCCAAACAATGGTGTTTCCAGCTAGAGAAGATGGTCTCATCTGCATGACCACGCCTGGCTTTGCGATAACACTTATCGTACTTCTGGGCATTTTGGTAACATCGTGCCTTATTTCGGCGGTCCTTTATATACGATTAAGGCCGTTCTCATCGATTTCGAAGAAGGAAAGGGCAGTGGCATTTACAAATCCTCAATTGTCGGGAACATTGCCAGTCATACAAATACCTCCACCGCCACCATCAAGTCATCATGGTACTCTATCGAAGGCAAGAACGCATACATAGATATCTAGTACAAATCAGAAAATGAAAGAAAATCAGCCGAACAACAAAAACCAACAACAAATGTAGGGTGTTTTTATAGTCAGAAATGTGGCAATATGTGTGGCAACTGTGTTGTCGCTGATGACCACTTTTTTGATAGTCTTAAAAAAATAGTTCATGGGCATGGCAAGTAGGTCCTAGGGCGAATGATTAAAAGTGAGGAGGTTAAAATTCATAATTCATAGAAGACTGTTTGATTAATTTAAGCATTGGCTTAATGTGAAAATATTTCCAAAACTTCGGATTTTTTATGAAATGTGTGAAAAAATAATTTTTAAAGTGGGAGAAAAGATGAACTTACCTCTAACCCACAAAAATTTCCAAATAATTTTAATCTTTAATCGAATTACCGATTTTTTCGAAACTTAATCCTATTTCAAAGGTTTCTTATTTCATTGCAGTGTACCTTTTAATAAGATAAATTTCAGATAAATCCACATATACTGGAAAAAAATAGAGATATTCAAAGACCATAGTAATAGTTTCGTGTATTTCCCTGATTTAGATCTACAACAATTAATCATGAGTATTGTAGTCCTCATTATATAAAAGATTCTATCATAAAAAAATCTCAAACGGTATTCCCCGAAATGTTCACAGTAACTGGAGTGTTTGAAAGTAACATAGGTTATATTTTTCGCAATTCAGTGGTGTGGGATACTTTCCGCACGCCTCCTGTTTAAGGGTGTTGGTAGAGATACTGGGATGTGAGAAATTTGAAAATAATCGGTCGCTAATTTCACATTTGAACGAGCGTTTTGTTATTTAACATTTTTGACCGCTTTTTTAGTGGGTAGTAAAAGGTGTGGGCTCACACCAGATCTTGTGTTTGTAAAAATATTTGGATGTGTGAAATTTTAAGAGAATTTGCCATTCTGTTATCTTCTGATAAGTAGGTAAAATTTCTTTTGTTATCATAAAAAAAAATCTTTTATTTAAACCCTTGAAGAGATTTATCTATATAGGTCCACGATATGTCCCCCATATAATGGTACCTCCCCGTATTTGGTATTTTTATGATTTTAGCCAAATTTTCAATGGAATTGTCTGAGAATCAACACAAGGAGTTGCTTCTGAATACTTTAGCCCCTGAAATAGAACTGTCTATATAAGTCCACGATATTGTCTAAGCAGTTCCACGTCTGTGTATAGCTAACATATAACGGTTTTCGTTCAAAAGGTATTTTTCGACGAATATGTTTTTAATTTTCAAGTTTCTTCCCAACGGTGGAGGGTATAAAAAGTTCGGCCTGGAACTTCGCTGCTTTTTTATTTGTTAATAATAACATCTTTAAGAAAAATGTACAATTAATGGCTGAAAATTCAAAACATCACACTGTTTCCAAATTCTATAAATAAAATTTGAAACTGTGTCCATATTTTTCGATACCCTTTTAAAATACATTTCTGGATTTAGATCATTTAATGAAAAAAGGGATTTGTCGGTTTAATTCCTTAAAAAAGCGTATACGACGAATCCGAGTTTGTATATCCTAGCATAAATTCTAGCTATAATAGCAGTTTTTGCATCCTTTCAACTTTTAATACAATTTACGTCAAATTTGGTCAAGTTTACATAAACGTAATTTCAAAATCAGTTGATGTTTGGACCTCATTTTATATCGCAATGATCATGGAAATATTTAAATGGGTTTGTCAGAGGTAAGTTTTATATCTGATTTTTAATTTTATTTATACTATTTTTTTTTTTTGGTAAATACTTTCCACCTCTTTGGCTTCTTATACTATTTACAAGAAAAATAATAATGAATCATACTTTACCCTCTATCACTTTTCATTCATTCGCCTTGATCAGTCTTGCCATGTCCGCACTTGATTCTGTTTCTATAGCTTTTATTTCTATTTCAACAAGACTAAGCCTAAGTTTCCAATTTAAATTTATTTTCATACATATAATTCAATTTATTATTTTTAACAAAAAGCTTTAATTTTAATTCAACACATTAAAACAACAAAATAGACGATACATTACAACAACAAATGGTAATTAAAAGCAAATTTTTAATAAATAAATATTTTTGGTCGTTTCTTAAAAATAGAAATCACAAAAACACACATACACTTAAAAAACTAAACCAATAACTATAATAAAAAAACATAATGAAATAAAATGGGTATTCTTCTGAGACGCTTCTTAGCAGCAAATATGGTGGTAGTTCTTAATTCGTTATTCTCTTCGTTTTGTCCTTTCCTATCTCTCGCTCTCTCTCAGAAAGTATTATTTTAAGTTCTTAAAACTAATGAAAACAAAAAAAGGACATCTTAAGTAATTTACTCATCTTTTAATTTTAATTTATTGAAAGGAAATACATACACACATACACACTCAACAACATAAACTGGTGCTAAGCCATATTTAAAAAGTTCAAATCTTTTTTTTTTGTTTTTCTTTAATTAGAGTTGTATTTTTGTTTCGTTCTTTTGCCAGAATTGAATGCAACAATTTGCTCTAAAAATAATTAAGACTTTTTTTGTTTTTAATAGTAATTATTATTTATTTATTTATTATAATTTATTGTATTTGTTTAATTTATTTTCATATAGTCATTAAATATTTTAAGTAAACTTAAATCGATGTTAAAACAAATCATGTCATTTATTCTACTTATTAAAAATGTATCTATTGTACTTTGAAGTTGTTCTTAGTTCTTTGCCTTCTATCTCTTACTTATTATTTACTTAATTGTAACCCTAATTTTATTTATTTATTTCATTAATAGTATTTAAGTGCTGACGATGACAAATGAATATGCTTAATAAACTTTGATGTATTAAAACATTTTTGACAAAATAAAATAAACCATTTAAATAAATGATAAACTACAAGTATTTTATTATGAGTTTTCGAAAAAAGATTATTGTAACTCAACACGCTGAGTTTTGAAAAAAAAATTTAATTTGAAAATTAAAAAAAATGCAAATTCAACATGCTCGGCACATTTTATTGAATACATCAAAATATGTGCAAAATACAAATTAATTGCAAAAGACACTTGGTATTCTAAAGATCATTGTAACTCAACATGCTGAGTTTTAAAAAAAAAATTAATTTGAAAATTAAAAAAAATCTAATTGCAAATTCGACAAATTCTATTGCGATTCAGCAAGCTAAATATAAAGTATTCGAAAAAAATAAATTTGGAATTCAGCTTGCTGAATAAAACAAAATTTGAAGATTAAAAATTCTAAAATTTTGGAATTCAGCTAGCTGAATACAACAAAATTTGAAAATTAAAAAATTATAACTGCAAATTCCATATTCTCGACACATTCTATTGCAATTCAGCAAGCTAAATTTTGAGTTTTCGAAAAAATTTTGGAATTCCACTAACTGAATACAACAAAATTTGAAAGTTAAAAAAGTATAATTGCAAATTCGATATGCTCGACACATTCTATTGCAATTCAGCAAGCTAAATTTTGAGTTTTCGAAAAAATTTGGAATTCAGCTAGCTGAATACAACAAAATTTGAAAATTAAAAAATTATAACTGCAAATTGCATATTCTCGACACATTTCATTGCAATTCAGCAAAGCAAATTTTGAGTTTTCGAAAAAAAAATTGGAATTCAGCTAGCTGAATACAACAAAATTTGAAAAATAAAAAATTATAATTGCAAATTCGACATGCCCGACACATTCTATTGCAATTCAGCAAGCTAAATTTTGAGTCTTCAAAAAAATTTTGGAATTCAGCTAGCTGAATACAACCAAATTTGAAAATTAAAAAATTATAACTGCAAATTCCATATTCTCGACACATTCTATTGCAATGCAGCAAGTTAAATTTTGAGTTTTCGAAAAAAAATTGGAATTCAGCTAGCTGAATACAACAAAATTTGAAAATTAAAAAATTATAACTGCAAATTCCATATTCTCGACAGATTCTATTGCAATTCAGCAAGCTAAATTTTGAGTTTTCGAAAAAAATTGGAATTCTGCTAGCTAAATACAACAAAATTTGAAAATTCAGCAAGCTTGATTTTGAGTTTTCGAAAAAATTTTGGAATTCAGCTAGCTGAATACAACAAAACTTTTAAATAAAAAATTGTAATTGCAAATTCCATATTCTCGACACATTCTATTGCAATTCAGCAAGCTAAATTTTGAGTTTTCGAAAAAATTTTGGAATTCCTCTAGCTGAATACAACAAAATTTGAAAATAAAAAATTATGTTGTTGCAAAATCGTCAGGCAAAATCCCATTATTGTTGTTTTTATAAAAACAACGTTTGTTTATGAGTGGAGAACGATGGTAGTGTTTACCAGGGGGTAAGGCAGGGAATACCTAGTTTTCGGAAAGAGCCACCAATCCTCATCAGTTCCCTTGTTTCTTGTCTGGGATATTCTCCCCAGAAGTTATTTTAAAAAATAACTTCTATGACAAAAAACATTTTTAACCCAAGTGACGAGATCGTAAGCTCAATAGAAGAGGAACAAAAGAATTACATAAAACTAAAATTCCATATTCTCCACACATTTTATTGCAATTCAGCAAGCTACATTTTGAGTTTTCGAAAAAAATTTGGAATTCGTCTAGCTGAATACAACAAAAATTGAAAATTAAAAAATTATAACTGCAAATTCCATATTCTCGACACATTCTATTGCATTTCAGCAAGCTACATTTTGAGTGTTCGAAAAAAATTTGGAATTCAGCTACCTGAATACAACAAAATTTGAAAATTAAAAAATTATAACTGCAAATTCCATATTTTCGACATATTCCATTGCTGCAATTCAGCAAGCTAAATTTTGAGTTTTCGAAAAAATTTTGGAATTTAGCTAGCTGAATAAAAAAAAATGTTTAAGTAAAAAATTGTAATTGCAAATTCTATATTCTCGACACATTCTATTGCAATTCAGCAAGTTAGATTTTGAGCTTACGAAAAATTTTTGAAATTCAGCTAGGCGAATACAACAAAATTTGAAAAATAAAAACTTATAACTGCAAATTCCATATTCTGGACACATTTTATTCCAATTCAGCAAGCTAAATTTTGAGTTTTCAAAAAAATTTTGGAATTCAGCTAGCCGAATACAACAAAATTTGAAAATTAAAAAATTATAACTGCAAATTCCATATTCTCGACACACTCTATTGCAATGCAGCAAGCTAAATTTTAGAATTCAGTTAGCTGAATACAACAAAATTTGAAAATTAAAAAATTATAACTGCAAATTTCATATTCTCGACACATTCTATTGCAATTCAGCAAGCTAAATTTTGAGTTTTCGAAAAAATTTGGAATTTAGCTAGCTAAATACAACAAAATTTGAAAATTAAAAAATTATAATTGCAAATTCCATATTCTCGACACATTCTATTGCAATTCAGCAAGCTAAATTTTGAGTTTTCGAAAAAATTTTGGAATTCAGCTAGCCGAATACAACAAAATTTGAAAATTAAAAAATTATAACTGCAAATTCCATATTCTTGACACATTCTATTGCAATTAAGAAAGCTTGATTTTGAGTTTTTGAAAAAATTTTGGAATTCAGCTAGCTGAATACAACAAAATTTGAAAATTAAAAAATTATAATTGCAAATTCCATATTCTCGACACATTCTATTGCAATTCAGCAAGCTAAATTTTGAGTATTCGAAAAAATTTGGAATTCAGCTAGCTAAATACAACAAAATTTGAAAATTAAAAAATTATTGCATTCTATTGCAATTCAGCAAGCTACATTTTGAGTTTTCGAAAAAATTTTGGAATTCCACTAACTGAATACAACAAAATTTGAAAATAAAAAGATTATAACTGAAAATTCCATATTCTCGACACATTCTATTGCAATTCAGCAAGCTTGATTTTGAGTTTTTGAACAAATTTTGGAATTTAGCTAGCTGAATGCGACAAAATTTGAAAATTAAAAAACTATAACTGCAAATTCCTTATTCTCGACACATTTTATTGCAATTCAGCAAGCTTAAGTTTGAGTTTTCGAAAAAAATTTTGGAATTCCACTAACTGAATACAACAAAAATTTGAAAATTAAAAAATTATAAATGCAAATTCCATATTCTCGACACATTCTATTGCAATTCAGCAAGCTAAATTTTGAGCTTTCAAAAAAATTTTGGAATTCAGCTAGCAGAATACAACAAAATTTGAAAATTAAAAAATTATTGCATTCTATTGCAATTCAGCAAGCTACATTTTGAGTTTTCGAAAAAATTTTGGAATTCCACTAACTGAATACAACAAAATTTGAAAATAAAAAGATTATAACTGAAAATTCCATATTCTCGACACATTCTATTGCAATTCAGCAAGCTTGATTTTGAGTTTTTGAAAAAATTTTGGAATTCCACTAACTGAATACAACAAAAATTTGAAAATTAAAAAATTATAAATGCAAATTCCATATTCTCGACACATTCTA